CTGGCTCCATGTGATCATTAGAGTTTTTGTAGCACATGTCACCGTATGAGGGTTGTCAACCTCGGGTTCCTGGCCAAATTTCCATTAGCACCATCATACTGCTGACCTATATTCCCCCAGCCATTTCAGCTGCCTGCATTATCCTTTGCTTCCTGCCCCAAACTTCAGTGCTATGTTACTGCACGTTGTTCAAAACTTCCAGACTCCACCCCAGAGGTGGCTACCTCTCAGCTAACAGTGACATCATTCCTCTGGGCATACACGTATGGGTGTAATCCTGGCTCCAAGAGGGCCAGGATTTCACCCAGTATGTTTAGGACCTGATCCTGAGCAGTGTCGAGCCTGAGGGGCAAAGGCTATAGGTGCTGAGCATGCTTAGCACCTCTCTGGCTCAGTCCTCTGGTGTGTAACACACTTGGCATGATATTTTTGGGCTTGACTAGACAGGTATGTAGAAGGCGCATCTGCACAAAGTAGCCCTGTTGCTATGGTGTCAGCCATTGGTCTCCATTAACGTCCCTCTCTATTAGAATGGAAAATGCTTTGGGAGCTAGTATAGATGGGAGCAAGCCATGGTCAATACTCATTCCAGGCAATCTGTTAGGCTCCTGGTTTTACCAGGTGCTTGTTCCACAATAGTCAGTATGGGTAGGGCCAGAAGTGTCCAGAGAAAGAAAGAGCTAAACCATTGCAAAAAACCCCAACTGCACTCAATAATCTTCTTGCCTGGGGTGAAAGGTGGACTGCTTGGAAGCCGCTGTCTGACTGAGATTGGCTAGTCCCATCTGCACCTCCAGCTTTGTTCTTATGAGCGCGAACCTTTGTCTTTGGAGAAAAACTGTGCTTTCCTTCCAGGCTAGGAGGCTGGGACAGCAGACTCCCATAGGAGTGTGTGACTGCTCTGTACAAAGCTATAGTCTGCAGCCATATGACCTTGGGCTAAGATCTCATCAGCTCTCAGGGTTGGACTTGGAGACCTCTAAAGATATATCTATGCTGCAATCAGAGGTGTGATTGCAGCACATGGAGACATACCTGAGTGTCAGGATCCCAACAAGGGCAGTCAGGCCAAGGATCAGAGTAGGATCAAACCTGAGGCTGGAAGTAGCAGAGGACTTTCATAGTCAGGTTCCAGGCCAGGGCAGATACCAAGGATCAGAGTCCAAGTCAGAAGGCAAAGTGAAAATCGAACCAAGGTCAAAGCCAGGATTTGCACAGGGAGAAAAGATGGTCATGGCAGCCACAAATGTCCTTTGGGTTTATATCGAGTGGGGAGCCAATGATGAGTCCTGGGGCTGCTGCCGGTCAGACCCCTTGATGCAGGACTTTCCATGGGCTGTGTCCATAGCAGGTCATGGGGCAGTGGAGTGCAAGCTAATTACAGCTGCTACTGTCTGCTGCCTAGTAGTTCTATAGGGCCTGGGTTCTGGATCTGTGGAGTCATACCCTGAGCTAGCTTTAAACTAGCTAGTTCGGGTACCACTAGCAGTGAAACCCTCCCTGTTTAGGCTAGGAAGCCTGCATATGTGCTCTAAGTTAGATGCTTGAGCACATATGTAGGCGCTCCTAGCCTAAACTGGGAGGGCTTCACTCCCACGTTGCCAGGGCTTTCCTACTATAGTTATTCCAGCCAGCTAGATCAAAGTTTTCTTGGGTATGTCTTCACATGCTGCAATCTTGCCTCTGATTACAGGGTAGACACACACGCTAAAGGGAAACCACTCTTTCCCCTGAGTCACTACTGAGCCAGGGCCTGGGAATGGGGCTATGCTGCTGGGATTCCATCTTTCCAATAATGGAAGACCACAGTCCTAGCCTCACGTAGGCCCAGTCTATGCTAGACATGTTTGCTAGTAGTAATAGCAGATGGGGCGTGATTTCTTTTATGACATTCTGATACCAGCAAACGCCCTGGTGTAGATGCAGTTGGACTGGCAAAAGAAGTCCTTTTGCCAGGATAGCTGATTTCATTTGACAACTGTTATAAGTTATACAGGCAGAAGAGCTCTTTTTCTGGTATAAACTGTGTCTACACTGGGAAGATTTGCCAGGATAGCCATACTGATATAGCTGTACCAGCAAACCCTTTCTAGTGTAGACAAGGCCCTAGTTCACAAGAGATGGGGTGTTGCTGGTTGTGCTCTGTCCACATTTTGAGGGTGTTAATTAACATTCTGCCTCCCTAAAATCATTCCATGTGTTCAGTTGGGTATAGTATCCTCTGCTTCCCATCCCAAACTGCTGTGTAGTGCTGATGTACTCTCCTGAACAGGTGCCATCTTCTGCCCTGCATTTCAGTGGTGCATGGTGCAATCCTCATACACAGCCTCTAAAGCGCCTTGCATGCTATAATGATTCCCTTTTCCTGACTAGCTTTTGCCCCAGGCCATGTGCCTTGTGTTCAGGTATTTTAGGAGCAGCGTCTCTCCAGATCTGTGACCTGGATGTCACATTGTTTTTATCCACCTCAAGACATGCCCAGACAGAGAGATTTTTCTCCTGGCATGCCAGACAGCAAGCCCAGTCCTACCACCCTCATTCACGCAAATGGTTTCCTTTTGGCAGTCACGTGAGATAATCTAGTGCCGTTCTGAACTCGGACTCGGCTACAGTGCAGAAAATACACAGAAAGTACAAATAGCCAAATTCATCCACTGACTTCAGTGGGCTGCCCCGGGGATGAATTGGGCCCAAAACGTTTAACATTAATGGCATCACTCCCAGACCGAGGGTCTGTCTACACTGCAATTCAAGGTGTGATTGCAGCTCAATAGACATACCAGGGCTAGCTGTATCTGCGCTGGCGTGGCTGAAAATTAGAAGCGTAGATGTGGCGGCACGAGATTCAGAGCAGGCTAGCAATGGGAGCGCATGCCCAGGTTGCCCGGCATATTTGTACAGCCCACGCTGCCATGTCTACACTGCTAATTTAGTTAAAGCTAGAGCAGGTATGTCTAACCAAGCTGTAATCACGCCTCAGATTGCAGTGTTGACAATATACTCGATGCAGCCAGCACATAGCTTTTCCTCTGGAAACCTTTATTCCTTCTCTCTGACCACCCCCTTCCCTCAGGCTTTCTCAGAGGATGGGCTCAATGTCATGTAGGCTTTTGTCTACACGGGGAAATTGACTGGAAGAGCTATTGCAGCAGTTCCTTATTGCCTGCATGACCCTATTTCCAGACGCTTTGCTTCCTGCCACCCCCGACGGCATGGAAGATGCCATTCTGGAGCGAAAAATGGCATCCTCCGGGCAGCGTGACCTTGCAGGCACTGTATGTGTGAGGATATGCTATGCAGAGCAAAATGGTGTCCTCCACATACTCAGGATAGCCGTGACTACATCCGTTGGTTGCATGACCCCACTAGGTGTCACGACCCATAGTACGAGAACCCCAGAGCTATTTCTATCATTGCACTATTCTGGAATTGAGTGATTTTTATTCTGGAACTGAGTGTTCTTATAGGGAGCTATTCTGGAATAGTTTATTCCACTATAGACTTCTGTTCAATTTCCCCATGCAAACAAGGCCTTAATCTTAGTTTACACTGGATGCTCTGGATATTCCTGGGCCCAGTAGAAAACAATTTCGAGACAGACATAAGGAGAATTTGTTATTCAAGTACTCCCAGAATTTTGAATGTAAAATGGCACCTGGTTCTAAACTAAAACGCAGCCAATGCAATACCCCAAACCACTTTGGATTTAGCTGTTACACAGATGGGTCAACTCCAGAACCTTCTATTTGATTTACTCTAAAATTTAGAGTTCTGGTAAAACAGGATCTGGATAAAAACCTACTCTGGTTTTGGTTCGGTAAGGCCCAAATATCCACTGACAAGGTTTTGCACAATCAAAACCTGACCCTATTGTGCCCAGTCTCTTGAAACAAAGGTCCAGGCGTAAATCTACATAGCGCCATTGACATGAATGGAGCTATAGACAAGATTCTGCCGAATTCACATCTTTCAGCAATGTGCATTTCATTTCTTGATAACTATTCCCTGAAATCCCAGCTTCTTTCCCGTCCTCGGCGTGTGTGATGGGCAATGACATACTTAAATAAATGCCAGACAAAAATAATTATCCACATCCTTGTTTCAAATTTATGCATTCCCCCTCCCCACCCTCAGACTCATCAGCTCATAATGGTTCTCCCCTCTCCTCTGATGGCTTTGTTTACACTAAAGTGAGCCATGGGGAGTTTATTATCTTCCCCTGCCGACACCTAGATATTGCATAGGACTGGTCAAACAGGACTGTTCGGCATCATTATCATACAAATAGGTCAGTAACTGTTACATCTCTGTGTGAGAGAACATTGTTCCCAGCTTCTGACAGGAATCAGATATTAGCCCACAGCTCTGAGCAGGACAGAATAGCGTCTCTAAATGCAAATATGAAACACTAAGGGTGTTATGTTTGTAGATGAATTAATGAGGCGCTATGGCTGGAACCTCTTGGATGAAAGCTGCTCTGTACTCGTAATGTTAATATATCCCACTGCACAGTGCTTCACAGACCTGCTAATTAATCCTCTCAGCAGTGCTATGACGTATCACTAACCCCATTTTATGCATGGTGAAACTGAGGCATGGAAAGATCAGGTGACTTTCCCAAGCCCAAACAGTAAGTCATTGGCAGAGCCAAGATTAGAACTGTACTTCCTGACACCTAGTCCTGTGCACATTCCTTTAGACCACATTGTCTTGCTTATGAGTTTCACTATAAAGCAGGTGACAAAAATCCATTTTGTCCCAGAGGTGGTGACCCAGCTTGGAAACAGACAATCCCTTGCTCCAGAAGCCTGCTTGTGAAGGGGAAAGAAGACATTTAGGAGACAGAATACGCCAGAGGAAATCCTAAATGCCTGGATGAAGGAGGCTAGACCAAGTCTCTCTTCTTCTTCTCCTATAACTTCACTTGGTGGCCAGCTCTGCTCACGTTGATTCCTTTCTTCTCCTTTGTCTTATCTCGGAAGGATTTGAAGGACACCGAGATGAACCAAGCCCGACCTCGCTATGTCGTCGACCGGGCGGCGTATTCTGTCAACTTCTTTGATGAAGAGTTTGAGAAGAAAAAGAGAAGTTACCCGCTTGGGGAAAAAGTCAAGAACCTTTTCAGGTAATGTGGAATGCTACTGAGTCTCCTTCGGAGCATGTTGCCAGGTCAGATTTGGCTCAGCAGTGCGGTGTTCGGGGGCGTGGAGAGAAGGGGAGGAGAGAATGCGAACCCTAAGATCAATACATTTCCATTAAAAAAAATTCCAGGGGAAACATGTTTTTAAGCAAATAAATAGTCTCCTGTGGCATTTTACAACCCAGGCATTGCAGCATAGGGGAAGCAATGACAACCTGTTAGTAATTTTCTAATCAATTTCACAATTAGGAGAGAGATTTTTTCAAAGGCACAAAGGGCGGTAGGCAACCAGCTGCCACTGAACCAGCCCACGACCCTGGAGGTTTGATTCCCACACACACAAAGGCTCTGTCATGCAGCTCTAGCTGCATAAAAGGACCTTGAAATAATCAGAAATGGCCCCTTGAAAATACCCCCACGTGTCTAGGGACTCCTTAACTGGCATAGACCTAGTGTAAGGGCTCTGCATCTGCCCTGTTATCAGCTCCCAGCATAGGGAGTGAATCGGGGGCAAGGCTGGAGTGCACTGCATTATGGCTAGTCCTTGCTTCCCGGGGTCTAGCATAGGCCAGCTGCTTTCACTTACATTGGGCGCAGGGCCCTGCCTCAGAATACAGGGAGTGCAAAATTGGCTTAAAGCCACTTTAACACTCCTCCAACATGTATAGAGTCCTGGCTCTGCCCCCAGGACAGCAATGGAGTAACGGAGAGTCAGGCCCTGCAAGCTAATAGCTAACTGAGCACAGATATTTGGAGTGGAAAGATTTCTGTAGTCTGAAATCAAGATGGGCGGCTGTTTGAGGTGCTCTCTGGGCTTTGGATAGGCAAAGCCATAGGCTAGCGAGCCTTTGTTAAACTCGACACATTGATGCCTCAGAGGCTGTGGATGTTGACTTTAGATTTGGGTGGCATCCAGGTGCTTTTTAGGTGGAGGGAGTTTTTCAATAAGCCCCAGAAATAACTGCTCTCTATCTCACTTCGCTGAAGTACGGAACAGCACCACCCCAGGGAGAAAATGCAATCACAGCGGCTGGTGATTAATACATCTGGGATAACCAGAGCTGAGTAATGAATATATATTTGATTGGGTTTGCAGTGTAATTGAAAGGTAAATGGAGTTTATGGTTTTCACTTCAAATGAATCAGTCTGCAGTGTGCCATGACACCAGAAATGAAGGCAGCCTGGCTGTGCTCAGAAGAATGCTTTTGCTTTGCATTTATATAAAAAGCATCTTTCATCCAAGTATCTCAACGGGCTTTGCAGACATTAACTGAGGAAGGCTGTACATATATTGTTAGATCCATAGGACTGATAGGTAAGCTGCGGTTCACTGACATGCTTAAAGCCTTATAATGAGTCAGTGGCAGAAAGGAGAACAGAACCTAGAGAACCCCTGCGTAGAGAAACCCTGCAAGTCCTATGTTCTAACCACTGAAGAAAGATACTGCCGGAGATCCTTGAACAGTTCAGGGGATGTAGATATAAGATCTTACTCTAATTTCAATAGCACATGTGTGTCTAAATCCCTGTAATTGTTTTGGAAACTTTACCTCCTCTTTCTAAAATAGAAACCCTGTCCAACCATGCATTCTAGGGTAATACACAAATCCTAGAGATCCACTTCCCTTTTCCAACACGTGTGACGTTCAGCCTGTGCTAATAATCGGGGGCAGCTCCTGAGGAATGTCTGTCCGTCCCTGTTTTTTCACAAGACCCTGTGTTTGCTCAGATGGTTTATTCAGGAATATTTAATTAGTTTATGTGACTTCTACAGTCTGTTTCCAATACTTGTTTGTTTGTTAGTTTTATGTCTGCTGGATGTGATCAACAAAGCTGCAAATTCTTTCTTTTTAGACTGAGTCTTAAAATGTATTGGTCCAAGGCTTCTGATAATCCAGGATCAGAGCTGGGGCAAACCAGAGGTAGTTTAGATTATGCTAAACCTCACTAGTTGGGTTTTGATTTTGCAAGGTCAGAACTGCAGTCAGAAAGTGGGGCAGATCCAGATCCCATGTTATCTGAACCTCCAAAGCTTTGGAGAGGGGCTGATCTGGATTATGTTTCCCGTTTTGGTGTATTGCTGTGTGAAGCAGAATTGAACACAGTTTTGATCCAGGTAGTATTTGCTCCAAAGTTTGAGGATGGGTTGGATAAATGGTTCTGACCCATCCCTACCTGGGTCACAGCAATATAGCAGCTAAGAGTAAAAGGCCTGGTTCATCTTGGCGCTGCTCCTCGTGTCAACACCTGTGCCAGTGTGAAGCGTGTGCAGAATGCTGCCACATCAGCCAGGTGATGCTTCATACCCAGGTTGGCTTCGTATCTACTCCGGTCTAGTGTAAATGGCTTCCTAAGGCAAGAGGCAATGAAAATCAGGACTGTTGTCCTTTGCATAGGAAACCTCGTAGAGAGGGGAAATGCTTTTTATCAGGACCCTCCTTCCTTACTTGTGTTCATTTCCTCTCTAGATGTTCATCATCCAGGTTCAAAGTCATCATCTACAGTCTGTTTCCAATACTCGTTTGGCTCCCCAAATATAAAATTAAAGACTACATTGTGCCCGATATCCTCGGGGGAATCAGTGCGGGGACAATACAAGTGCCACAAGGTGAGACCAGGTTTCCTTTCCCTAGTGGGGGTTAGAACGTCACTTCCCCCCCTGGAGCAGCTGTGAGGAGAGAACATTCCCACCTTGCTCCAATTAAAGTCCGGACGTGCTGTCGATGGGTGATTTTATCCCCTTCCTGGGGTTGGCTTTATTAGTAACAACAGAACATACAACCTCAGCCCAAAGCTTTCTCCTCAAAGCTGGCTCGTCCTGGGTTTCCCTGCAGGGCCATCCTGGCTCTGCCCCTAGTTCCCTCTCACCAGAGAGTCACATCTCATAGCCTGGGAGAGTTAACAAGCTGCACTTGCCACAAAGACCCAGCAGAACTGACTCAGCAGCTTTGTGCAGATTTTTAACTTCCGCTAACAGGATGAGTCCCTACTAGAAGAGTCCTGCGTCCCTATGAAGGCTGGTAGATCCTGCTGCCTTGGTACAGTAGCCCACTCCATAAAGGTCCATTATGGGCTTTCTTGCATCTTCCCCTGAAGCATTTAGTCCATTGTCAAAGACAGGCTGTAGAACTAGCCGGGCTACTGTCCCGTGCCGGTAAGGGAATTCCCAGGGACCGCAGCTGTAACTGAGATGGAAGAGCTGAAGTCAATTTCACTTGCATTTTTCAGGGATGGCCTTTGCGCTGCTTGCCAATCTGCCTCCCATCAACGGACTCTACTCCTCCTTCTTCCCTTTGATACCCTACTTCATCCTAGGTGGCATCCACCAGATGGTCCCAGGTAAGTTCCCCTTTCTAGTTCTGAGATTTGAATGTCCGTACATTCCAATTACGTTCATTGCCCGAGCACCTCCTCCAGCTGTACCATATCTCCTGACAGGGCACTGTTTTACCAAGCCTGTTCTCTGGTGCATTAATCAAGGTCCTAGATCCCAGGTGCCTGCTGTATAGCATTGCACCATGAACTGATAAACCACTGCCATGTTCTGCTACAGAACTGGCTGCACTGCAGTGATGGGTAATTCCCAATCTATATTAATACTTTTCAGGATGGGATGCTTTGCATACATGTAAGTCACCTGTTACTGTTTTGTCTTGCAGGCACCTTTGCTGTCATCAGCATCATCGTTGGGAACGTCTGCCATGATCTGGCTCCTGAATCCGATTTCCAATACTTTAACCATACCACCAATGAGATAAACATCAACAACACAGCAATGGAGGCAGCCAGACTGGAGATCTCCGCCACATTAGCTTGTCTGACAGCCATCATACAAGTAAGGACATCTCGGCACTAAAGCTACAGTGTCCACTGCCTGAGCTAAGCCTAACCCTTCCCCTTGTATGAGGTTGAACAGTGACTGGTTACGCAGGACAACTGCAGTGGGATTTTGTCATTTGTACACCCTCGAGGAAGGGGATGGCAGTGCCAGCAGGTGCAACAATTGGGACTGTTTCCAAGTAGGTGATACCTGGAGACAAAGGGTTTGGAAGGGTCCTGTGGTGCTGGCCCTGACTTCAGAAACACTGGACCGCAGACACTATCGTGATTCTTAAACTATAATAGGGATCTGGATAGATGGACCCATCCTATATTAAAGTTTCTGAACAAAAAAGAGGCACATTGGGGTCTCTGTTCTTCCATGATCAGCAGCTCATAGCAATTGCAGGTGTATTTTTACTCCAAAGACACTTTGCATGGGAGCACATGGGG